ATTATTATTTCATAATGCAACACTTCCTCATTTTAATTAATAATAGATTACATATTAACTATAAACATGATTCTACAATTTTGAGAAAATGAAATCATGAAAAAATAGATTTTTTATTGTACTTGTTGTCAAAATATCTTTACACACATCATCAGCAACAACCTACCATGGGAGAGAACAATTAGATTCCAGGGGAGGAAGAAACGCTTTAAATGGACAGCACATATATTGAGGCAAAGCATCCAACTGTGTCACAAGATAAGCCCTCACTTGGAGACCCTCAAGGTCAAAGGAAAAGTAGGCTGACCGAAGAATACATGGCACCGTGAACTGGTGATAGACGTCAAAAGAATGAACAGCGACCGGGTCGAACGGGAATGGACAGCCCAAGACATAGCAAGTTAGAGAATGCTGGTCAGTGGCCTATACTCGATGAGAGGTAACACGTGTAATCAAGTAAGTTAGTAAGTAAGGAATGTCTTTATAATCAGGCATGTGATCTGTAACAGCAAATATACTAACTGAATTTGTTAAAAGCCTTATTATCTTCAAAAAGGCCTTATATTTAGGATCAAACCCATCGTCTTATCTCCATTTTCATCTTTCAACATATCCCTAAGAGTTCAACAACTCAAATCTATCCAAATTATCTTGTTATCACAAATATTTCTGATACCCAAATATTTCCGAATATGTGTGTGCACAAATGATTTTTTTCAAAGTTCATTCATCATCAGGATAATGAACTGATTGAATATTGGACAGAACATACTGGGATATTCATCCAAACAGAAATGTTCACGTATTTAAACTGAAAATGAGTTTTCATTGGTATATGGCCTTTGTTTTATTGAAATGATGAATCATTCGATGTTAGACTACCACTATTAGAAAATCTGGAAGCACTGGACGGTCGTTTCGTCCTGGTATGGGACTCATCAGCGGTGCGCATCTAAGATGAGACCCATACCAGGACGAAACGACCGTCCCGTGCTTCCAGGTTTCTTCTAATGGTGGTCTAACAATGATTGATTGATGATTTCAAATGTGTAAAAACGCAAACCTCCAAAACTCTGCCCCAAAATGACGTGTGAAGTGATTGTATAAGCATCGTGAACAAGTCGTAAGGAGAGTCGAAGACGGTACAGCTTGAAGAATACTATTCTGCAACCTATACTCCATTTGGGTGTAACAAGAGTAATAATATCATCAATACATTTCTATACATAGAGAAATACTGACTGCCAGGATAAATCAGTGAAAATCACATATTTCAAGTTTATTTTGTGCTTTTCTGTTTGTAGGGTATGTTTTATGCATTTGTGTGTAAGTGTGTAAGTGTGCAAGTGTGTGCTTGTATCTATTGACAGGAAAGTCAATATATTAATGCCGCATACAGGTTCATATGATAGTTGAAGTGTATGTACACTGACTGCAAACTATCGCCACTTAAAAAAAAGGGACGTGCTTTGTTTTTGAGGGTGTTTACTTTGTGTGTGTGTGAAGGTAGGTAGTTAGGTAGGTATCATGGCGTTGTGTATACAACTGTAAGTAAGTTCTACTTCATATGTACAGTAATCTATACAGTGTACACAAGCGCACGCTCTCTCTCACACACACACACACACACATAGAATTAGGTATTTAGGTCAGATGTAAATTACAACCAATACAATTCATGTCATCATCATTTTCAAATCAGTATAAAACTAACTACTGCTGTTATTGTTGTTTTTAAACCAAAAAAATCACACTTTGAATCAGTGTGTGTGGAAGAAGAGCGCAGATCTCAGTGTTCGCCCGTTTTTTTCTGCTTGTCATTGTTGTCGGTTGGGGTTGGTTCTAGTCAATTCATTTCATCGCTGATCAATTCATTCATATTTCGCCGGCATTTTCAATCATGGTAATTATCATTATTTTTTCAAATATAAATGTGTTTTTTTTTCTCTTTAAAAAATAACCTCATTAGCGTGAATGTATCAGTTTACATATTGGTCAAGCTGGTGTTCAAATGGGCAATGCATGCTGGGAATTGTATTGCTTAGAACATGGTATTCAACCCGACGGTCATATGCCAAATAATGAGATTAAGGAGAAAACCGATGGTGCTTTTAATACATTCTTCACGGAAATGAGCTCGGGCAAACATGTACCACGTGCTGTGTTCGTCGACTTAGAACCAAATGTTGTGGACGAAGTACGAACTGGAACGTATCGTCAATTATTTCATCCGGAACAATTAATCACTGGTAAAGAAGATGCTGCTAATAATTATGCACGTGGTCATTATACGGTTGGCAAAGAAATTATTGATTTAGTTTTGGAACGTATTCGTAAATCCGCTGATCAATGTACTGGATTGCAAGGATTTTTGATTTTTCATTCATTCGGTGGTGGTACTGGTTCAGGGTTTACATCGCTACTGATGGAACGTTTAAGTGTAGAATATGGTAAACGATCCAAGCTGGAATTTGCAGTGTATCCTGCACCACAAATTGCTACAGCTATAGTTGAACCATACAATTCAATTTTAACAACACATACTACATTGGAACATTCTGATTGTGCTTTTATGGTTGATAATGAGGCAATTTATGATATTTGCAGGTAGGTAGTACGCATGTCTTTTGTTGTTGTTATTGATATAATGAGATTGAGATTGTGATTTAATCATTGTTAGACCATCATTAGAAGAAACCTGGAAGCACTGGTTGGCTGTTCCGTACCACGTATGGGACTCATCAGAAGTGCGCATCTACGATACCTGCCGCTTGCAGGATTCGAACCCAGGACCTTTGGTGTTGCGTACGAATGTTTAACCTCTGAACGATTGAGACAAGTTTCTAAAGGTGGTCTAACGATGATGAAATCACAATTTCTATATTTTAAAAAATACATGATCTCCATAATTTAACAATGGGAAGTTGATATAATAGTTTGTTTTATCGAAGTTACGAATAACACTTCAGATAAGCCCCATATCTACCAAGAGACACGCTTGTTGACTTAAGATATACCGATGACATAGTTCTATTTGGTGAAGACGCTGACAAACTGCAGAGTCTTCTAACCACCCTAAGCAACAATGTAAGCGTGTTCGGAATGCGGTTCTCATCCTCGAAATTCAAAATGTTGCTTCAAGATTGGCTTGCATCGGCACCTGAACAAGTGATAGCAAGTGAAGCATTTAGGCGTGTTGGCCGCTTTACATATCTCGAGAGTCTCATCAGTGCTGATGGTCTGATGTGTGACGAAATCTTAACACGAACACAAAAGGCTCGACTGGCTTTTGCCAACTTGCGTCACTTATGGCGTAGGCGAGATATCAATTTGCTGACTAGAGGACGAGTGTATTACGCAGTAGTTCGCTCCGTCCTACTTTATGGTTGTGAAACATGGCCAGTGAGAGTAGATGATGTTCGTAGGTTACTGATTTTCGACCATAGATGTGTCTTCGAAGCATTGCTCGTGTATCATGTGACAACGGAGTAAGCAATGCTGTCGTTAGAAAACGAGTACTAGGTAAGAATGACAGATCAATAGATTAAATGGTGAAACTTCATCAGTTGAGGTGGTTGGGACATGTATTACGTATCCCATAACAACGACTGCCTTGACGAGTAATGTTTTGTGGTACAGGAGTAAGTTCAAAGAAAGCTAGGGGCGGTCAAACCAAAACATGACACAGATTCATGAAGTCATTGACAAGTAGACTGAGTCATGTTGGTAGATGTAGACTACCTGGTTGGGGACTGCGAGACGATAGGAACCGATTGTTTAGGACTTTGAACGACATGGCTCAGATTCGTTTGCGATGGCGCAGGTACATCCACTATTTGTGTTCTCTCAAATTCTAAACTTACAAATTCCTCATCAACTCTATATTTTTAAGTTTATTTCACGAGATTATCCTTTGTGAATAATATCTTCGAATCCTAATCTTCTCCATTACTGCTAATACTTCTACTATCTGTACCACTGTGCCAATGTTGTATGACAACCTGAACTGATGTACGTAAGTACGAAGTTCTACATTGTAACACACTGTCTGACTGACTGACTGATAAGCCACAAACTAAGACAAAACGGTTACTTAATACTTTCAAGTTTCTTATAGTAGTCTTACACTAATCAATTCATCAGCTCAATCAAAATTAACACTCTTGTTTGTGTTTTTTTTTTCACATCAGAAAAAACTTAGGCATTGGTCTTCCAACCTACACAAATTTGAATAGATTAATTGCTCAAATTGTCAGCTCAATCACTGCTTCGCTACGTTTCGATGGTGCATTGAATGTGGACTTAACTGAATTCCAAACTAATTTAGTCCCTTATCCACGTATCCATTTCCCATTGGCCACTTATGCACCAATTATTTCAGCTGAAAAAGCTTATCATGAACAATTAAGTGTGGCTGAAATTACAAATTCATGTTTTGAATCTGGTAATCAAATGGTCAAATGTGATCCAAGAACAGGGAAATATATGGCCTGCTGTTTATTATATCGTGGTGATGTTGTACCCAAAGATGTCAACGCTGCTATAGCTAATATTAAAACTAAAAAGGCGATTCAATTTGTTGATTGGTGTCCAACTGGTTTCAAAGTGGGCATCAATTATCAACCACCAACTGTTGTACCTGGTGGTGATTTAGCCAAAGTACAACGTGCTGTGTGTATGTTGAGTAATACCACTGCAATAGCCGAAGCATGGGCACGTTTAGATAGGAAATTCGATTTGATGTATGCTAAACGTGCATTTGTTCATTGGTATGTTGGTGAAGGTATGGAAGAAGGGGAATTCTCCGAGGCACGTGAAGATACAGCGGCATTAGAAAAAGATTACGCTGAAGTTGGTTGTGATACAGTGTTAATTGATGAAGAAGATGAGGAGCAAGAATTTTAAAATATCGATCGACTGATCGACCGATCGATCGATTGATTAATTTGACTCATGTTTGTTCAACAATACATACATTTTGGTTTATCTGTGTCTACCTTTTCATTTATTGTTTGTTCAATATTCAATTTTGTTAATAGTGTGTTACTTAGTAACATACATTATTATTATTATTATTATTAAACCATAATTATTGTACTTTTTATTTGAAAGAACACATTGAACAAGTAATACATTGTACCGTGTAAAATCAATAACACGTGATTACATCACTTTTAGTGAAGGATAAACAACAAAGGACACCTTAAAAAAGAAATGTGTGTCTATTTAGGCGTTTTACTCTTTGATAGTGATTAGCTTGTACTCTGTTTTCAAAGCAATCATATCAACTGAATCATGTGAGTAGTATGTAGTGAGTGCTTCATTTTCAGTGTGTGTGTGTGCGTGCGCGCGCTTTCTTAGTAGTAGTTCAGTGTACATTTATTTGTTGGTCTTCATTGGATTGGTTGGCGTTTATTTCTAAAAATTTTGTTTTAATGATTAAAAGTTTGATAGTAAATATGAAAAAAAAACTTTTCACTATAAAGTTGGGAAGGTTGTGGTGTAGTGAAGGAGAACACCGGTGTTGCAACCGAATTGTATTTAGCGAAAATTACAGAGTTAATCAGTAAAATTGGAAAACCATATCGTAAATCGTTCATTTGCAAATCTTCAATCCATCATTAATCCATTGTCTGACATTTCACTATTCCATTGTGTTCTTCTAACTCTTCCTTTCTTGATCTTACACCATCTTCTGCTGCCAGACATTACGTTGACACTCACGTCATATACTACTTATAAGTAGCTCACACCACAGCGGGGCTCCCTTTGAAAACATGAATCGATCAGTGATAAACTGCTATTAGAGACCTGGAAGGCCGTTTTATTCTAGTGTGGGACTTATCAGTACTGCGCTTCCACGATTCTTGTTACTTGCATGAATCGGTTCCAGGACCTTCGCTCTTGTATGCTAACGCTTAGCTTCGGGATGACCACTGAGCCTTCATCCAAAGGGTGTTAATATCTAACTTTTGTGCAGCATCATCCATTGCTTCATAGCTGAACAGGGTTGAACTCCACTAGTCACAATGTCTGGGTTCGAATCCTGCAAGTTGCAGGATGCGCACTGATGATGAGCTACATATTAGGACAAAACGGCCATCTAGTGCTTCGAGGTTTTTTAGTGGTGTTCTAATATTGATCAATTCACGATCATGATGTCGAGTTACTTAAACTAGTGACCTGATTGCTACTTGACCGATAAAATACAGTTAGCATTAAGAAACACCTCACCTACATGACATTGGTCAATACCTACCTAAAGATCGATCAATTATGTAAACATATTTACTAGAAGCAAATATAAACATCATAATCAGAGATGGATAGTGGTAGTTAGCAGTGGAAGTGAGGTGGGGCGTTTCAACCTCTCTGAAACTTGTCATTAGGTGAATGTACCTGCATCCCGAAATTGATGTCCATTACGGGACTCGAATCCAATACTGTTTGCTTTAAATACTATCGCGTTATCTCTACTTAGCTGCTGAGTCTAAAGAGTCTTAGTAATGTATCTAAGTTCATTAATAGTGAATATAGTTATCTAATGAAGTGTATGTGTATATGAAGTAAGGAATTATGATACTTGCTGAGAATACGTTAAATTTCCACATCAACGACCCGGAACCCAAGCCTTCTTGTCTTGTGCGCCAAATGTCATCAACTAAACTTCTGAGTTGGCTCCTAATAGCCCATATATATCGAACCTGAATCATTTCTGCATATTGCACAGCCATCTTCCATTGTCTCGGGAGGATAAGTGTCTTACACCCTACAGGATTAATTACTGCTAGTTACCGATCCTCAGTAGGATTACATTTTGAAGTGATTGACTAGTAATCACTTGATTTAAACAACAAATATTCTATAGTTTTCACAATCCGCCTCCTAAAGTAAACTATTCAA